GCGTGCCATGTGGCAGCGCCATGGTGGCGGCGCGCCACGGTGGCGACACATGTGGCAATGGCAGTGGACCCGGGTTGATGGGTCATGGACACGGGCCAAAATAAAATGGGCCAATCGAACCCAACTTAAGGCTTAAGGTTGGGTGACACATGGTTAGTTCACATTGCATGTGAAATGCCTTGGGGACCAAGTGAGAAAGTGGTCCACACCTAACCATGTGACACTTGTTACTTGTTCCTTTGTTTATTTAACTAAGGGTTGAATTCACCAATCTTTCCATGTGGGATCTTTTTGTGAAAAGTCCCACATTGAAAGATGAGTGAAATTCACAAGGCATACTTCCTTATAAATAGTCATGGCATGGCTTGAGAATTCTTTGCTTGAGTGGAAGTTAAAAAGAGCATTCCATAATTTTTGGGAAAACTCTTAAACTCATATAACACTCGGGTTTTGGTCGGACCTTGCTAACCCCAAAGTAGCGGACCTTAATTTTGTGTTCGCCCTTTTGTGGGTTGATACCGTCGGAGGCGCGGCGCTTGACGTGCTCGTAGCTTTCAAGTAAGAGCCCCGGTTTTTGGGCGAAACTCGCTTCGAGGGAAAGATTCGTTATCTTTTCTTTGTGATTATTTATTTATGCTTTATGATTTTAATTATTGCGATTGGTTCCTTAGGTCGGGGTTGTTTCCGCGGTGAGTCTGACTCACCAAACCCCAACACATGCTAAATTTGGTGCAGATCTGCACCTCATGCTGAAGGAATTCAAAGACATCTTTGCCTTTGAAGTGGAAGAGATGCCAGACGTCAGCCCGGATCTTTCAGTCCACAAACTCGTCGTGGATCCTAAAAAGAAGTCCATCCAGGAAAAGAAAAGAAATCACGGCGAGGAACGAAGTCAGGCGGCAGCTGCCGAAGTTAAAAAGCTGTTGGACGTTGGGTTCATTCGGCCATGTAAATTCCCCGAGTGGGTTGTGAATGTCGTGCTTGTAAAGAAGCCGAATGGTACCTGGCGTATGTGTGTTGATTACACAAACCTCAATAAGGCATGTCCCAAGGACAGTTATCTGCTTCCTAAGATCAACAGTCTGGTCGATTCGACAGCCGGGCATGCCTTGATGAGTTTCATGGATGCCTACTCCGGCTTCCATCAGATACCCCTGTGGAAAAAAGATCAAGAGAAGACGGCCTTCGTCACTGATTAGGGGTTATTCTGTTACACTGTGATGCCGTTTGGCTTGAAAAATGCGCCGGCTACATTCCAACGGATGATTAACACGGTCTTCATTAATCAAATTGGGAGGAATATGGAGGCGTACATAGATAACATGACAGTCAAATCCAAGCAGCTGACAGATCACCTTGCTGATCTCCGAGAAACCTTTACCACACTCAGGCGGCATAAGGTTATGTTAAATCCTAAGAAATGCGTCTTTGGTGTTGAGTCTGGGAAGTTTCTCGGATTCCTGATTGATCAAAGGGGGATAGAGGCTAACCCCGAGAAGATACAGGCGGTAATTGACATGAAGTCACCCCGCACTGTCAAGGAAGCGGAAAGACTAACCGGTTGCCTGGCGGCATGGGGGAGGTTCCTCAGCCGGTCAGGTGACAAATGCCTTTACTTCTTCCAAGCAATCAGGAAGAAGACCAGATTTGAATGGGGGGATGATGCCGAGGCGGCCTTTTAACGGCTGAATGAACACTTGCACTCTTTGCCAAGGCTTGTTAGTTCACTACCTAAAGAGGTTTTATACATGTACCTAGCTGTTTCAGATCATGCCCTCAGTGCTGTTCTCCTTGTTGAGAGAGACGACATTCAGCTCTCGGTCTATTTCATTAGCCATGTTCTAAAAAATTCTGAGCTCCAGTATTCCATGGTTGAGAAATTTAGCCTTGCTCTATATATGGCCTTCAAGAAATTGAAGCCGTACTATTTGGCCCATCCGGTGGTAATTTACACCGACCAGCCCCTTAAGCGGCCAATGTCTAACTTGGGATCATCCGGCTGAATGTTGAAATAGGCTATTGGAATGCAAAGTCTTGAAATCCCTTTTGAACCTAGAAAGGCAGTGAAAGGTCAGGCGTTTGCCGACTTCATTGTTGAAATGACACGACCGGTGCAACCGGATAACATTGATCAAGTTTGGAAAGTGTATGTAGATGGGAGCTCAACGAAGAACGGCTGCGGTGCAGGAAATATATATGAGTCCCCTGAGGAGGACAGATTTGAATATGCACTGCGATTTAAGTTTCAAGCCTCCAATAACGAGGCGGAGTATGAAGCCCTGCTAGCCGGAATCTGCATGTGTAAGGCAGTAGGGGCAACTAAAATTGACGCCTACTCTGATTCACAATTGGTCGTTAGCCAGTATGATGGAAAATATGAGGCAACTCATCCGGCTATGATCAAATACCTTCAGACAGTCAAAGAAGAGGCTGGGGCACTTGAGGAATTCCGTCTGAATCAAGTGCTTAGGTAGGATAACAATCAGGCGGATGCGTTGTCCAAATTGGCTTCATCCGCCAGCTGTGATACGCCTTGGTCGGTCTTTTGGGAAGTTCTTGAAAAGAGAAGCATATATAAAGAGCCCATTGGAAATCTAGACCAAAGCTCTACCTGGATGGATGGCATCCGGGCATATTTAGCAGACGGCATACTTCCTGATTCACCACAGGAAGGATCCGTCATGAAGAAGCGAGCAACAAACTTCGAGTTGAGATACGCAGAGCTCTTCAAGGCGGGTTTACTTAAACCTCTATTGAAGTGTGTTACCCCAGAAAAGGGGAAAGAAGTTCTCAAAGAAATGCATGCTGGGTATTGTGCCTCTCATATGGGCAGCAGGTCCCTAGCCGTCAGAGCCAGGCGGCATTACTTTTGGCCTACTCTTGAAGCAGACGCTAAAGAGTTGGAGAAGAGATGTGATAAATGCCAGAGGTTTGGCAAGCTCATTCACCGCCCGACTACTGATCTGACGACAATCCACAGCCCAGTCCCGTTTGCTAAATGGGGCATGGATATCTTGGGTCCTTAGACGCCTACTCCAGGCGGAAAGCGCTATATTTTGGTGGCTGTGGAAGCTGAGCCGGTTAAGAACATCATGACCAAGGATGTCATCTCTTTCATCTAGAAGAACATCATCACCCTGTTTGGGGTACCTATGTCTATGGTTTTTGATAATGGTCCTCAGTTTGAAACTCTTCATCTCAAGACTTGGTTGGGAGATCAGGGTATCTCACATTGTTTTGCATCAGTCGGCCGACCCCAAGGAAATGACCAAGTTAAAGCCTTCAACAAACTCATCCCCGACGGCATAAAAAAGAAAATTGAAAGAGCCGATGGCTTTTGAGCAGAAGAGCTAATTCATGTCCTGTGGGCCATCCAGACTACTGCCAAAGGGGAAACCGGTGAAACCCCATTTCTTATGGTATACGGTGCTAAAGCCGTCTTGCCCATTGAACACTACAAGCTGACTCTCAGAATCATGCTCTATGATGAAGAGGCAAATTGGGAGGCCATGCGGCTGGCATTGGACTCCCTCCCGGAACGCAGGGGCAACGCTGCCCTGCGCCATGAGATATAACGTCTGAGAATGAGCAGAGCCTACAACAAGAAAGTGCACAAGCATCCTTTGAAAGTCGACGACTTTGTGTTACGAAAAATGGAGGCAACCGGTAGGGCCAATGAGGCTGGAAAGCTAACCCCTAATTGGGAAGTCCCCTACCGAATTTATGAAGAAGTCAGGGATGGCACCTACCGTCTGGAAACCCTAGACGACCGGCGTCTGCCTAGAACTTTGAATGTAGATAACTTTAAAAAAAAAGTACTTCTAAGAAATGTAAATTTTTGTAAATAGTAAGTCAATTAATAAGAATTCAGATGTTAGCAGAATCGTTTTTCTATTTTTATTGCTTGTCCACCTGAGTAATACTCAGACAGACTCTTTGTTTAACTAACTAAGTTTGATACTTAGTGTAATTTAATAATTGCTTGTCCGCCCGGGTAATACTCAGACAGACTATTTGTTTAAACAACTAAGTTCGATATTTAGTGTAAATTCAATGTTGTAATAACATTGGCCTATTGTCCGATTAAAAACTAAGCACAAAAACGCTTAGTGGCTATACAACCGATCTCAAACCAGACGAAAGTCCAAAATTGTCGGATGGTTTCTTATTTTATAAGACCCCCTGTCCCAACATGGACAAAGGCGTCCGGCGACACCCCTTTGGGTGCAATCGTCGCAGAGAACATACTATTTGTCGGTTCTACGTACTTAAGCAGATGACAAAAACGGAACGACCGAATTGGTCAACTCATAGCCGTCTGACCAGAATAATCTATAAAGAACGATTAAGTTACCGAATACCGGATGCCCTAAGGCATCAGACGGTCACCGACTGAAGTTCTCACTTAGGTTATTTATTACAAAGTTGCACTCTCTCTCCCAATTCGGGCAAAAGATTTTGTGTAATGGCTATGTAATAACCCCGGACAGAATATAACCGCCTACGTAAGAAGCTCAAAGCACCCGCTTTAATGGCCGGCTGTGCACTTGGTTTAGGGCAATCACTATTGTGATTGATTGGCCTAAAAACACTCCATACTACTCCTAGTATCAAGTGTTTTCAAGCCAATCAATCAATTTGACATAAAACCAACCACACAGCCGTCCAGGGGCAAGAGCACCCGGATTGCAAATTGCCGCATGCTTTTTAAGTTAGGCAAAATATTAATGAATTGCAAACATACGCAAAATTCAAATAACACAAAAAGGTATAAACAACCGACTGAGTCGGAATACTTCATTAAATATTTAAAATGGCACAAAGGCCAGAAGTTGTGTTAGCCGGAGTTACATCCGGTGAAGAAACAAAAAAAAAATTGTTAACCCAACCCCATGGTTGGTAAAGTTACAATATTATACGGCATACAAGCCGGCAAAGAAAATGGTTGGCATACTACCGCAGAAGTTGGGGAGGCCCGCCTAGGACTTAGGTGGAGGCTGCTAATTTGGATGATCTTGGCCCGTTTGGCCTTCATTTTTCTCATCCGCCGCCGGCTCCTCATTATTAGAGACTTCATATCCCTGCTCAGAAGCCCAATCCTTGAAGCGAGGCGGAGGAGCCTCACCTAGCACTTGGGCATCATACACCTCAATGGCGTAATCATACCTGAGTTTATAGACTTCAAAGTCTATATCTGGGTAGAGGAGGCTCCAAGTGATATTTAGCCGGGCTAAATTATCTCGCTCATTCTCCTCCATCATCCGCTTTTGCTCTTGGGCGAGCTCGTCCGACTGCTTGTTTCGCAGAGTGACGATCTCAATCCCAAGGCGGGAAACGTCTGCTCGGAGTTGGGCGTTTTCCTTATCAGCATCCTCTAATGCCTTCAGCTAAAATTTGGCATCCTTTAGCTTTTCATCAACGTCATCAGCCCGGCTGGTGGCTTCATTGTTCGCAACTGTCAAGCTCCGAATGAGCTCCTCCTATTTCAACTCTACAGCTTTAATCTTTAAATCACACATATAATTAGCATATTCAGCAGAGTTGAGGTTTTCAAGGGCCCTTCGTTTGGCGTCATTTGCCTCTTCTTGTTTCCGCCTGAAGGGGCCCCGGAGGCCATCCACTCTCAGCATTACCTGAGAAAAGAGCAGCCGGATTATGATATACTTAGTTAAAATAAAGAAAAAGTATTGGGGTTGTGGGATTTTTTACCTCAGCCAGTTGGCCCATTATGCGGTCGAAGTCCACTACATGCAGGTCAGGTATGGAGTTCTTCTCCGACCGGGTGAGGGTCCTCACCATCCGTTTTGCAAAACCTACAAGATCCGGCTCATCGGATGTCAGATCTGCACCAAAAGTAGTACTCTATGAGTAAGAGGCAGCATAGTTGGCACTCATCCGTTGGCGGCTGTTGACTGAACCCTCAGAGGGGTCCACCTTAGTCTTGAATCCCATGAAGTCAAGTGGCCAAGGTATTTCAATCCTTCCCTTACCTTGGGTATCCGGATGGGGCGCAGGCTTCTACTCCTCCCCAATTGTTGTCGTACCGGCTACAACATTAGATGGATCGCCACCCTTCAATGCCGTAGAGGCATCCGGCGCTTTCTGCTATGAGCGTTCTAAGCTTTCGCTCAAAATCTTCATCGCAGCAGGTTTCTTGCCTCAATTCGTTGGACGATCGGATTTGGAAGCAGAGTTTGTCTGGGAGGGGGTCCTTTCTGGCGGCCTTCGCAGCCGGAGCTTTCTCCTGATCCTCTCCTTACCTTTTGAGAAGCTTGAAGAAGGATCGTGGCACTCGCTACGCAGAGTTGATAAGTGGCGTTTATTCCACTATTTAGATCCTCTAATCGCGGTATTTTTCTACGTTTGTCCCTTGTTTGTACCCCTTTTGCTCTGTTTCTCTCTTTATTATGTTTTTGTGCTTTTCCTTGTGTTTTGTAGGCTTTTGGAGTTGATTTTTAGAGAATGAAGAGCTTGGATAGTTGGAGTTCATTTGAAGAGCTACAAAGGAAGTTAAGGAGCAAGCAAGCAAGGCCATGTGGACAGCGCGGGTCGCGCTTTCAGAATGGCGCGGGCGCGCCAAACCAAGCGCGGGCGTGCCTAACATTGGGGTCGAAAATATTGGAGGCAGAATGTAGGCGCGATTTGGACGCGGCTTAGGCGCGGGCGCTCCTAAGATAGGTGCGGGCGCTCAAGGGCATGAATTCCAAAACTAACTTTTATTCACTCTTTTAGACATAAATTTTGATCTACAAATTGGATTGAGGCGATTCAAGTTGCATTGGAAACTAGACTTAAATAGCTTTCCAACGGTAGGTAGCACGCCTACAGAAGCCTCCTAGAACAGAAGTTATGGCCGTTTGAAAATGAATGTCGCTGCCAGGCGAATCCCAGTGCGCGGGCGCGCAGGCAAAAATCGCGGGCGCGCACGAGCAGCTACGGGTCTTTTAAACGTTCTTCCTCTCCTTTTTTTGAAAGTTTCTATGGTGGGTTTCTTTGGGGTTTTCTCTCTCTTCTTTGAGGGGTTAAACCCTAACATCTCTCCATCAATCTTCACATAAATTAGGCTTAGATTTAGTTTTAATCTTTGTTTTTATACTTTGTAATGTAGATTAAGAGTAATTTAGGGTATTTTAGAGAGAGAAAGTGAAGAGCTTCAATGGGTTGATTGAAGAAGATGAAGACGCAAAGTGACATTGTTTTGGATTCCTTTTCAATACTTCAATGAACATTCTAAACTCTATCTCATTTATTGTTCTTTCATAATTTCTTGCTTGATTAGAGTAGTTGTTTAGTTTAATTGCTTCTCTTTGTTCTTCTTGCTGGGTTTTGTGTTAGTTGTTCATGATTAGTGAGTAATTCCCTTTACTAAGGGATTGGTGATAGCATGTGGTGAATCTTGAATGTGTTAGGCTAGACAAATGTTGGTTATATGTGATTAAATATACCTTGTAACCATGTTTTACTAATTACTCCATGTGAATGGCCAATCATGTGTTGTAATTGGGTGGATTGAACTAAGTTATGACGATAGTGTAACTTAGGGATATCCATTAGGTGATCGATTCTATGCAAAAACCTTAACTTTCACAGCTTATGACGATAGTATGAGCATGTGTTAAGTTGGGAAAGCCTTTGACCCCGATAGGTGGTTAGATGGTATTGTTGGTATTGCTTTATATGAAATATTTGGTTTGCATGTAAACTCATTTCCATTGCCTAACTTTATTGAAGATCATTGTCATGTTTGACCCTCTCCCTTGGTGTTAGTTTAACTTAATATTAATCTCATTTTGTTTATTGTTCTATTCATCCTATCTCTTTGACCTAGCTTAATTGGTGGTGGTGTTGATAGTGTTTATGTCGTCTCCGTGGTTCGACCCTCTACTTACCACTAAACTTGTTTAGTGTAGGTGTAGGTTTATAAATATTGTTTGGTTGAGGGTAGTTAGTCCAACGACCTAATTATCCTTCACCAAGAGTCCTGAAGAATGAACAAGGTTAAGTATACCCAACCGGCAAATTGCCTTAGTAAAAAAAATGTATATATACACATATAAAGTCAGGCGGTCTTACCTCGCCTTTCTTAGACTCTTTTGCATCGACGACTGCTTTCTTGGCAAGTGCAGCCTCTTTGCGCAGCAGCGCCGCCGATTTAGCCAGAGTCTTCGCCGGATCAACCATCTTCAAGGCGTCGGCTGCATGAATAGAATTCAAGTTGGAAGAAAATATGGAAAGTTTGTATTAATAAAAAAAACAAAATAACAAATACTCCGGATATACGGTAATATACCCTTGGGAAACATGGGACTCAACCTACAGGCGGACAAGAAGCACTCGTCCTTGAAGAAGTCCGGATGGGGGATCTAGTTTTTGGGAACTATAATGTGTGTCCCATCCCCCATGGGCTCAGTTGTGGTCTCAAAAAATCCCGGATCCTTTATTTGTTCCTGGGCCTTAGTAGACAGCTCCGGGAGAGGGCACTTCCTTCCTAGAAGAGCCGGCTCTATGTTGTACCGGCGTAGTGTCATGTTATGCCTCAAAGTTGAGGAAGAAATCAAGTAAAACTTGTCCTTCCACCCGGACCACTTGGACACTTTGTCCAAACTCATCAAATATTGGGGCAAGGTAGTAGAAGTATACCATGCCCCATGGCCGCCTGGGGCCTTGCTCAAATAATGCATATGAGCGAAGGCGGAAAAACTAGGATTTATATTCTAGAGCTCGCAGGCAGCGATGTAACTTAAAATATTCACCCATGAGTTGGGGGTGAGCTGCCAAACTCCTAAATTGTACCCCTTTAGGATTTTCCTAATCCCGGTGTGGAGGGGGAACCGGAGGCCGGCTTCGATGACCGCCTCGTAGTAGACAAAGTAATGATCTGCGTTATCAATGTCATCGCTCCAGGCCATTACTGCGTCAACCGGCGGAACGATGATATCCCAACCCCTTCCAAAAGGTTCTTCTCCTTAAAAGCCCTAAAGCCGCTCTTAATTAGGGCAATGTTACCCGGCAGCATCCTAGTCCGTTTGGGGTTGGGATTGTCGACCTCAGGCGGCTGCTGATAGTCAGCCGCAAAGTTATCTTCGTCAGAGCCGGAAGATTCGGCCCTTGACCCTTTGCCGGCCTCAGCATCGCTGGCTCCGTTAGAGGAGGCGGCTTCCTCGCCGCCTACCTCTCGTACCCCCGAGCTCCCGGAAGTAGAAGGAGCCTCTTCATAAGACCTACTCTCCTCCAAATCCCTCTGTTCCCCGTCTAGGAAAACCTCATCGGCTGGCACTAATATAGTGCGGCGGCTCCTAGACCTTCTGGCCGTCTGTTTCGTTCTGGCCATTGTGTCCTACACAGACACAGAGAGGGAGGAATTTGGGGTTGAGCACATCGGTTTTGACAGTCTAGAAAAGGCACCCCCTGTTCTAGACTCAGCCGTCCCGGGGGACCTGCTGAGTATCCTAGGCAGTGCCGAGTGTGTGGATTGTGAACTCATTTATATTTTCTAAAACTATGTATACAGGCGGAGAAAGAATGTATACAAGTTGGAAAAGAGAAAAGCTAAAATGGTACAGGAGGTTACCATACTTTAACTTTGAATAATCTGAAAACCGCTACACTTGGTAAACCGTGTGTTGAACTGCTAGCACACGGAACCTCAAAAATACTCTGACGCAGATGGAGGCAGAGAATCTCTGTCTAAAAGCTCTCTCTTTCTCTCTTTCAAAAGTCAAATGAAAGTATGGTGAGAGAAAAGGGGGGTAACCTTCTATTTATAGAAGGTGAAAACGGGGGGAAAATTCTTGTTTGAAATTTAAATTTTACTATGCGTTACTGTTCACCTCTAATAGGTGGACACGTGTCACAGGCCCCATGTGATACACACGTGAGACCTGTGAGGGGCAAATGTTTAGGGTAAAAATACCCTAGACACGTGGACCAATGAGAGGAGGCCACATGTCGAGTTCATGATGGCCCACGTGGATTAATTTCCCCTTGACACATGGCCCCCCTGGATAAATCTCTGAAATGGCGGCCTTCAATGGCCCAAATCCCAAGAAGCACCGTAAAACGGCACAGCCCACTAAAATCTAGGTCAAGTGACCTAGATAAGGGCACATTCTCCAATGGTAAATAGGGAGATATTTCCCCCACTTTGGGGACACATTGAATCATTTATTACACGTACATTGTCTCTCATAAGAGAAACACCTGAGCTTGGAATCCAAGCAGATCCCCACCTTAATTTCCGTACTCTTTATTCCCTTTCAAGTTACTAAATTGATCTTCGGAGGCAGAGCTTCAACCACCCGGAGTCTCCGTTGTTTTGTAGGTACAGCTCAGCCGGACCAATCTTTGTGACGTAACTCTCCCGAAGGCCAAAAACACCCAAAACAACAACCTTGGAGGTTTCTTTGTCCATAATTCATATGGAGTCTTTTCTACAGCTTTTGATGGTGCATGGTTCAGTTTTAGTGCCGCAATTAGAAGTGTGTGTCCTCAGAAAGAGATAGGAAGATCACTACGACCCATTGTTGATCGTACCATGTCTAACAAGGTTTGATTTCACCTTTCGGATACTCTGTTACATTGTGGAGTTCCTTGAGGTGTCAATTCTGAAAGTATACCTTTTTCTTTTAGATGGTCATCGAATTCTTGGCTCAAGTATTCACCACCTTGATCCGATTAAAGGGCTTTGATTTTCTTGACAAGCTGATTTTCAACTTCATTCTGAAATTCTTTTAACTTTTCAAACGATTCAGATTTATGCGACATTAGGTAGACATAACAATATCTACTATAGTTATCTGTGAAGGTGATAAAATATCGGTGTCCATTTCTTGTGGTTGAGCTCATTAGTCCACATACATCAGTGTGTATAAGACCTAATAAGTATCCTGCCCTTTCTCCTAGCTTGGAGAATGGCTGCTTAATCATCTCGCCTAATAAACATCCCTCGCAGTTCTCAAACGATTCTAAATTGAAAGAGTCAAGAACACCTTCTTGTAGAAGTCTATTGATGTGTTTGATGTTAATGTGGCCAAGATGACAATGCCACAAGTAAGTTTGGTTTAATTCTATGGTCTTAGCTGTTTTGGTATTATCATAAACAATTTTGTCTAAACACACAGAAGGTGTAATTTCCATAAATATAAACAAGAAATTTAAAAAAAAGGTCTTGTGATCAAGGTTTAAAATGACATCCAACGTCGCAAGATCAAAGTATGGTAGATAAAACTTAACAAGTATGGTAGATTTACTTCTTCATCCACTTGTGTACTCATGACCACTTGAAAAAACACCGCTCATTTCGTTCCTGAAATAAGTTCATAAAATGAGTCAATTATCCGGTATCAAATACCTTATAAATTGCTTATTTTCAAGTGTGTGGATGATATCTGAGATTGAGGCCATCTTTCCTCTTGCCTCATCTTCCAGATACTCGCTACATTCTCTTCTGTAGTGGCCTCGCTTACTACAATAGAAGCAGCGCATCTTTGCCTTGTTTTTGAACTCCTTTTTCTTGAGCCTCAAAGCAAATGTAGCCGCCTTGCAAGAATAGGTTTTCTAGAGCTCTTGGACAGCTTCCTTGTAGGACAGTTTGTTCCGATTGTTGGTAAGTCGCATCTTAATTGTAACATACCCCGAGTGGAGTGAGCTTAAAAGCATATGAGCTGCTTGCTCATCCTCCACCGGTTTACCAATCAGTTCCAGATGGTTAAATAACCTTGTCATCTTTTGCACATGGGCTTGAAGTGGCATCCCAAGTCTAAGTCTTGCACTATAGACCCTAGCCCATACTTCTTGCCATTATTTATTAAGACATCCATCTTGCGGTGGCTTGATCCTCTTGTTAGACAATGACATAGTAACTTCTTCCACGAGTCCATCATAGTTTCCCTTATCGCTCTTTGTTACCCTCAAATTGACCACATTTTCTAGAGCCTTGAGAAGTACATCCGAAAGGTAGTTGGAGAATTTCTTCGTCCACTGTTCCAGAATGGAGTTTTCCATGAGTTGAGAAACTCTTTTGCAATCATAACTCCACTTCTCATGAGCCATATCGCTCATAATCCCTTTTGAGTAGAAACTCGGGATGGGCGTATCCAAGATATGCTCTAGGTAGCAATTACGGAGGGTCAAACAGAGTTCCTCTTCCCATTCCTTGAATTTTACCAAATTCAAGCTAAATGATAACTTATCGGGAAGTTCTAGGAACATAAGATTGTTGTCGATAGTTGAAGACATGATTCTACATTTGAAAGAATTTTGAAAATGAAAAATCATTCATGAAATTTAAATAAGATTGAATTCATGCATTTTAATCAAACTTATTTTAAACGTCTTATTCACACATTTAAAGTTGTCCCCAATTTGGTGAGAATAAGTCTTTTCCAAGATCCAAAGAAACAAAGAGTGGTTAAGCATGCTTTTCCTATGGTAAGCAATGCTTTGCTATTGCCTCCAAGCCACTCTTGGTTGAATAAATTGTCGTATCTAATGCTCTCTCAAAAATTTATTCACTTTGCCACGACATGTTAGGACTCCATCACTCATAAAGTTGAGTTCAACCAAAACCAACTTGCATACCCGGTATGCCTTACGCTCCTAGGAGAGGTAGTGATGCCGCGCTTTGTCATAGCCCACCACAACCCTCATTCGGCTGGTAAGTATTGTTTTGGAATGACAAGTTTTTACTCAATATTTAGGGACCTAGGGTTTCTATGTTAGTTGATTTAAGTGAACTTAATTAATCATCACAACATTCAAAATCCTAGACATGCATCTAACATATAATTCATATATATATATATATATATATATATATATATATATATATATATATATATATATATATATATATACATACATATATATTGAAAAACATAAATAAAGATGCGTTTGGAAACTACCATGACCCCTTGAGATCTTCAAATCTTCAAAAGGTCTTCATTGCAACTTTTATGGTTACGTCTTTCAAGAACCTCCAGCTTCAAGAGTTAACCATAATTAACTGCAACTACTAGTGTTTAGGGTAATTTTACCCCGCCACGTGGTCCAATCAGAGGATGACACGTGATTTGGGTATTTTATACCCGGCCCGGCGGCCCAATCAGAAAGTGCCACGTGTCCTCCGTATAGGTGCCATTTGAACCTATGGAATGATGACACGTGGAGGGTGGACTCTTCTCCGTCCTATGTGGACTGAAGGTCCAGCAGGGACCATTCAGGTGGCGACACGTGTCGCACAAAAAGTGCTTCAAAATCCTTTGGGCACAGTGACACGTCACTCAGGCATTGGCCCTGGGATCGCGGCCTTCTAAGGCCCAAATCCCGAGGCGCCGCAAAACGGCGTGACCTAATTACTAGGTCACCAGATCCTAGGAAGGCACACTTTTCAAAAGGACCCTATAAATAGGGAAATTATGTCATTTATGACAGGGAGAGAATTTTTGACACGCAATACGAGACAATACGTTACTTATCTCACTTTACCTGAGCTTGGAATCCAAGCAGATAACTTTACTTCCGCACGTTTTATTTCTGAATGTTTGCTGACTTAATCTTCGGAGGCGGACCCCCAACCATCCGGAGGTCCGTTTGCTTTGCAGGTACAGGCGTCCACAGTTGAATTCATTTTCAGTGTTGTAACTCTCCCGAGGGACAAAAAACCCCGAAACATTTGGCGCCGTCTGTGGGGAGAGTACCTCAAAAATGGCTTCACAAGAACCTGTACCACTCGGGATGAGCTAATGTCACTCCTGAGCAGCCTCAGGGGTGAAATCAAGCAGCTCGCCTCAAAGAAGTCGCCTACTCCTAGAAAGGAGTAGTCGGCCAAGAAGCCAGCCCAAGCTGACAAACAGAAGTCGGTCAGGGACCGTTAGCTGACTCCTCATCCTGCTCCTAAGGAGAAGGCCATGCCCCAATTTGACCTCAACCGGCTCCGTTTCCCAGAAACGGGCGCAAGAAAACCCATCCGGCACATACAGCCAGATGGTAGCAAGAAAACGTTCTCTGACGCTCGGCAATACATTGAGGAGAGGAGAACCCAACAATCAGAGTCGGCTTCAATGTCGACTTATCATGATAGCTTTCAGAATACCTCTGTACGGTGTTCACATTCTGTACATTAGACTCCAGCAAGCAGCCAAAGGGTTCAGTCTGGGCCGCATGTGATTCAGTCCGCCCAGTACATGGCACAGCCATTGTACCAGGCGCCAGTTGTACCTTACATGCAGCCTACCCTCTACGGGGGACAGGCGGCATACGACTATCAGCCGATGGACTGGCAGCTTAGGCTGCAACATCTTGGAGACCAACCCTCTACTTTCTTCAGAGAAATAACTGAAGCCGTGCAGCCAGCTAAAGTTAAAAACATTCTGGTTGGAGCCTATGACGGGACCTCCAACCCAGAGGACCACCTGTTGGCATATACCCACCTCATGTATTTACAGGGGTTGGATGATGTCGCATGGTGTCGTTGCTTTCCAGCCACCCTGAAGGGCATAGCCCAGTAGTGGTTTGACAACCTGCCGGCTGGCTACAAAAATAGCTTCAAGACGCTTGCGTTCTTGTTTGCATCAAACTTCTCTATGAACATCCCTGCCAAAAAGACAAGTCTTGACTTGGGAAAAGTACAACAGGGAGATAGAGAAGGTTTGCGATCCTACTTCAGGAGGTTCAATCTGGTCCGAATCCAGATTCATGGGCTGTCTGATGAGGTCGCCTTCACAGACTTCTTTAAGGGTCTAAAGGACGGGTCTAATTTTAAGTACAAACTCGTCCGCAAACAAATCTTTACCCTACAAGGAGCCTTACGAGAGGCGGAAGCCTACATACAGGCAACCGAACTCTGCTCCTCCAGTAAGCAGTCGGACCATAAGAAGTCCGACCGGCAGAAAGAGAGTCGGCCTGCTCAGCCGGCTCCTAAGCCAGAAGAGAGCAAAAAGAAAAAGCAAGTTTGGGCCATTGATAACTCTGATCAACCGACCTAGAAGAAGAAAAAAGAGTGGAAACCGTACGTCCCAAGGTACGAATTCCACAAGGACTGCTGCACCATCCTTTTGGAAATTAAGATCGGCTAACTCTTGAAAAGCCGACTGCTATGAAAGGTTCCGCTGAAAATCGGAATAAGAACAAGCATTACCATTTCTATGAGGATGTTGGCCATGACACGAACGACTGCTTTAGTCTCAAGCGGGAGCTCGACCGTCTGGCCGACAAAGGACAACTGAAGTCCTATGTGAAGTCCAAAGTGACTTCAAAGGCTAATCCGGGGCAGTCCAAGAAAAAGACTCCCCAGCCCGCTGTCAGTACTGAAACTGATGAAGAACCGGTGTACACCATAGCAGGCGGATTTGCCGGTGGTGGCCCGACCATTCGGGGTACCAAGGACCATCTAAGAAAGATGGTCAATTCTGTTGAGGAGGGGGATGCAGCTAGCACATCCACCTTCCCTAAAGTTGTCATCACCGAACAGGACAGAGGCAAAGTCCGTCGGTCGCATGATGACCCTGTTGTCATTGAGTGTAAAGTCGCCAACCAACTGGTTGGCCGAATTCTGATTGACACATGAAGTTCCTCTGATCTCATCAGCCTCAAATGCTTGTCCAATCTCAAGTACAAACCGGATAGCATGATGGAGGTCACCCACACCTTAGTCGGGTTTGGGGAGGACTTGTGCACCCAGTCGGACGAATTGACCTACCTGTCCGCCTGGGAAGCAGGGGAGACGGTCGGCACATGACCATCCGTTTCCTAGTGGTTGAAGAGCTCACGTCTTACAACCTCATCTTTGGCCGACCAACTCTTAATGAGTGTAAGGCCGTCATCATCCCTGCTCTCATGCTACTTAAGTATGAGAAGGATGATGGAACAGTTGGTTCCCTTAATGGGGACCAAAAGACGGCTCGAGAGTGTTATCTCTCGGACGTCAAGCTTGCGGCCGCAGCATCCGGCCGGGGCAAGCAAATGATTGACCTCGACGATGTCGAGGAAGAACAGTCGGCTCCACCAGCCGGAAAGAAAAGAAAGACTGATCAGCTGGTGGTGGTCAAAAAAGAAAAGCAATAGCAATCACCAGCCGGGGAAAGGTCGGATGATCTTCGTCCCCAGCCAACTAGTGAGCACATTGATATCCCTCTGGATGATAGCCGTCCAGAGCGGACTGTTAAGGTGGGGACGATTGCCTTTGCAAAGTTGGGTGAAAACCTTCACCAGCTGCTCAGGGAATTCAAAGACATCTTTGCCTTTGAAGTGGAGGAGATGCCAGGCATCAGCCCGGATCTCGCTGTCCACAAACTCGCCCTGGATCCTAAAAAGAAGCCCATCCGGTAAAAGAAAAGAAACCACGGCGAAGAAAGAAGTCAGGTGGCAGCTGCCGAAGTAAAAAAGTTGTTAGATGCCAAGTTCATTTGGCCTTGCAACTTCCCTGAGTGGGTAGCTAACGTTGTGTTAGTAAAAAAGCCGAATGGAACTTGGCGAATGTGTGTTGATAACACAGACCTCAACAAGGCATGTCCAAAGGATAGCTATCCACTGCCTAAGATCGACAGTCTAGTCGACTCAACAGCCGGACATGCCCTGATGAGTTTCATGGACGCCTATTCAGGTTTCCATCAGATCCCCCTGTGGAAAAAAGATCAAGAAAAAGACGGCATTCGTCACTTATCAGGGGTTGTTCTGTTATACAGTGATGCCATTTGGTTTGAAGAATGCGCTTGCTACCTTCCAACAAATGATTAATACGGTCTTCATTAATCAAATCGGAAGGAATGTAGAGGCGTACATTGACGATATGATAGTCAAATCCAAACAGCAGGCGGATAACCTTGCTGATCTCCGAGAAACATTCGCCACACTCAGGCGGCACAAGGTCATGCTTAACCCAAAAAAGTGTGTCTTTGGTGTTGAGTCTGGGAAGTTTCTCGGATTTTTGATTGACCAAAGGGGAATAGAGGCCAACCCTGAGAAAATACAGGCGGTAACCGACATGCAGTCGCCCCGTACTGTGAAGGAAGTGCAAAAGCTAACAGGTTGTCTGCCGGCCCTGGGGAGATTCCTCAGCCGTTCAGGCGACAAGTGTCTCTACTTTTTCCAGGCAATCAAAAAGAAGACAAACTTTGAATGGGGGGATGATGCAGAGGCGGCCTTTCAAAGGCTAAAAACTCATCTGCACTCTTTGCCGAGGCTTGTCAGCCCTTTGCCTAAAGAGAAGCTTTTCATGTACTTAGTTGTCTCTGATCATGCCCTCAGTGCTGTCCTCTTAGATGAAAGAGACGACATCCAGCTCCCGGTGTATTTCATAAGCCATGTTTTGAGAAACGCGGAGCTTCGGTACCCCATGGTTGAGAAATTCGGCCTTTCCCTTTACATGGCCATCAAGAAGCTTAAACCTTACATCTTGGCGCATGCGGTAGAGGTCTATACTAACCAACCGATCAAGCGGCCACTCACAACCTTGGAGTCTTCTGGACGAATGCTCAAATGGGCGATTGAAATGCAAGGATTAGAAATCACTTACGAACCAAGGAAGGCAATAAAGGGACAAGCATTCGCTGACTTTATTGTCGAAATGACAAGGCCGGTTGTTCCGGACAATACAGACCAGGTTTGGAAAGTGTATGTGGATGGGAGCTCCACTGTAAACGGCTGTGGCGCGGGGATTATCTGTCAATCTCCTGAAGGAGATAAGTATGAATACGCACTACGTTTCAAGTTTCAGGTCCTAATAATGAGGCCGAGTATGAGGCCTTGCTGGCCGGCATCCGGTATTGCAAGGCGGCAGGGGCGAAGAAGATATCCGCCTGCTCTGATTCTCAACTGGTTGTACTCCAGGTTAATGGAATGTACGAGGCCACTCATTCGGCCATGATAAAATATTTGCAGGCGGTCAAGAGTGAAGTTGGGTCACTTGAAGAATTTCATCTAACTCAGGTGCCCAGGTCTTCAAACAATCAGGCGGATGCTCTGTCCAAGTTGGCATCATCCGCCTCCTGTGAAACGCCTCGGTCAGTTTTCTGGGAGGTCATGGAAAAAAGAAGTATATCTAAGGAAGACCACATTGGAATTCTTGACCGGAGCTCAACCTGGATGGACAGCATCCGGGCCTATCTTGCAGACGGCACGCTCCCAGACTCACCACGGGAGGCGACTGTTCTAAAAAAACGAGCAGCTAACTTCAAGTTGCGACAAGGAGAGCTCTTCAGGGCTGGCTTTTTGAAACCCCTGTTGAAGTGTGTTACCCCTGAAAAGGGGAAGGAAGTCCTCGAAGAGTTTCATTCGGCATTCTGCGGCTCCCATATAGGCGGCAGATCCCTCGCGGCCAAGGCCAGGCGGCTTTACTTTTGGCCAACTCTGGAGTCGGATGCCATGGAAATGGTGAAAAAATGTGACAAGTGCCAAAAGTTTGGCAAGCTCATCCATCGTTCGGCTACAGTCCTGACGACCATCCACAGCCCAATACCCTTTGCCAAATGGGGCATGGACATTCTGGGGCCATATACAACTGCACCAGGCGGCAAGCGCTATATATTGGTGGCTGTGGATTACTTTACCAAGTGGGTAGAGGCTGAGGCAGTAAAAAACATCAAGACTAAAGACGTCATTTCCTTTATCTGGAGGAACATAATCACTCGTTTCGGGGTGCCCATGTCTATGGTTTTTGACAATGGTCCTCAATTTGAGACGCCTCAACTCAAGACTTGGCTCGGAGACCAGGGGGTCTCAAGCTTCTTCGCATCAGTCGGCCGGCCGCAAGCAAACGTCCAGGTCGAAGCCTTCAACAAGTTAATCTCAGACGAGATTAAAAAGAAAAGTGAGCGGGCTGGTGGCCTTTGGGCGGATGAATTACCACACGTCCTTTGGTCCATCAGAACGACTGCTAAAGGGGCAACGGGAGAAACCCCATTCCTAATGGTGTATGGTGCAGAAGTTGTTCTGCCCAATGAGCACTATGAGCCGACCCTTCAAATCATGTTGTATGATGAAGAGGCGAATTGGGAGGCCATGCGCCTAGCATTGGACTCACTTCCAGAGCGCAGGGGCAATGCTGCCTTGCGTCATTAGATATACCGTCTGAGAATGACTCGGGCATACAACAAAAGAGTACACAAGCGTCCTCTCAAAGTGGGGGACTTTGTGCTACGGAAAATGGAGGCAGTCGGTAGGGCGAACGAACAGGGAAAGCTAACCCCTAACTGGGAAGGCCCCTACCGAATATATGAGAAAGTAAGAGACGGCACCTACCGCCTGGAAGACCTAGACGGCAGGCAGCTGCCTAGAACTTGGAATGTAGACAACTTGAAAAAGTACTACTTCTAAGTACGAATGTAAAAACCTCAATTTTGTAAATCTCACGTATTGTTAATGAGAATATGCCTTCATTTCCCAACTTGTCTTTTTATTTAAGCTCTTTGTGTCGCTTGTATACAATACATACAGCCAATACGTTTGTAGAGCGTTTGTCTCAACCGCAGACGCTCCAATCATTTTGAAGGAACCGATTGTTTTAGAACAGTCGTTCTTACGAAATTCATCAAGTTTACACTTGACGAATATTTACGTAACCATGTAAGAAGCCTAAGGCCAGATAAAATCATGATGAGGCCCATGGCCGGATGTTAATAAACAAAAAGAGACCGAACGGTCACAGTCTGCTCCAACATGAGTTAGATAACCGGCGACGTCCATTTGGGCGAATTCGTCGAGGAGAAGCATCTCCCATTTGGGTGGCACATTGCTCTACAAATATATCAAGCTAAGGCAGCATTCACAATCGTTTGTTTTAATCGAAAGTGAAATCTAAAAAACCTGAATTTTCTATCTAGAGCAGTTCAGAAATGGTCACTGTTTCATAAGTAGAGGCTAAGCGAGGCATAAAGCCGGATGTGGCTGTTATTACTCAGGGGAAAAACAGGCGGAATATTTACAAGCTAAGTTAACTACTTGGCACTTATTGAGGCTATTGGCCGGATGACGCCTGATCCTTGCCTATGGGGCAAGACAGGCGGACAATTATTTTTAAGAGAAAATTGGTTAAGTTACAAACTTAGCATTTTATCTCAAAGACGCCTATGGCCGGAGGCGCTTGTTTTTGCTTATGGGGCAGAACAGGCGGAGGTTTACCCTTAGCAAATTAGCTAAGTTGGAAATTTGAGTTAGTTCGAGCCAAAGGCCGAATGAACACTTATGTTTGCCAATTCTGGATGGACGTCTACCGCGTGGTTTGGGGCAATCACCATAGTGATTGATTGACTTAGAAACCATGCATACTCTTCTAAGTATCAAAAATTTCTAAGTCAATCAATCCAATAAACCGAAACCACTCGACATCCGTCCAGGGGCAAGAACATTCGCATGGTATACAGGTTATAATACTTAGCCAAAAACATGCAATGAAAAATAAAAATTCAAGCAGTTCAAAGGACAGAATATGGATAACTTCAGCCAAATGGACGAATGATTCAAATTAAAAAAGACCAATCGCCAACTGACGATTGGTTAAGATTGTCATCTGGCAAAGCCAGAAAGATTGTCAAATTACCCGACCCCTTGGTCGGCAAAGATACAAATACTCGGCACGCAGGCCGGAAAAGAAAAGTACATGGCCATTCTGCCGCAGAAAAGCATAAAAGCTTAAGTGATCAGGGGAGAGCCTCTTTAGTGGCACCAGGCCTGTCGTCCTTCGGCTGCTCTTCATCCTTTTTCTCTTGCTCCTCCGCCTGATCCTCCTCCTTTCCACCAGAGGACGGCTCCCAGAAGAGTCGGACCCAGAACTTTCCTCGGCCTCAGCATTCTCAGCCTCTTCAATAAGGCGAGCGTCAAATGCTTTGCTGGCTTTGTCAAATTTGGATTTCCAAATCTGATAGTCCGAGTCCGGCTGTACAGCCGCCCAAGTGTCCCGCATGATGGCTTCATAATCGCTCATCATTTTCTTAACAAGAGCCTCTCTCTCTTGATCAGCCACGGACTCAAACTTGGACTTCAGCTGATGCTCCTGGTTGCTGAGGCGCTGCTCAAGGCGGCCCACCTTCTGCTTGGCTCTCTCGGCCTCTTCTTTGGCATCTTGAAGAGGCTCGATCTTCTCCTTAAGAGTTTTAATCTCTTTCTTAAGGGAAGGGATGCGTAGGCGGGCCGAGTCCAGGTCCTTCTTCACCTGCATATTGGCTTCCGCCTGCGAATACATCATATCAAGCGTCAGATACTCATTCTGAGCAATATCAAATTGAGCCTGATCCAAGGCGGACTCGGCCCGAGCTTTAGCGACTATTACCTCTTTGGATTTCTCCTTGAGGGGTTGCCTGAGCCCTTGGACGCGCAGCATGGCCTGCAAAAGAGCCGAATGGTTAAAACCAGGAGGAAAAAGAAATAATACTTAGCAAAAAAAATAAATAAAAAAATAAATAAATTTTTGAGCTAAGACTCATACCTCGCAAAGGTTCCCCAAGATGCCATCCAAGTCAAGGGTGCCGACTCCTCTGACAGACGCCTTGTCGTCAGGATAAACCGCCCTCAGCATGGACTTGGCCATCTGGACTACAGTCGACCTCTGCACAGGAACTGAGAAGGAGACAAAGTTAGAAAAATAACTCAAGTACATATAAATGGAAGAACAATACAGGCGAATGGATTTTACCGTCGTCCTTCTTTTCCTCTTCTCTCCCCAGGCTCCTCTTCTCTCCTGCTGAGCCGACAGTAGTGGTGGGTTGCTTAAAGCCACCCTTAGATGTCCTCTGGGCATCCGGTTTGCTGATCTCCTTTTCAGCTTCCAGAGAAGAGGCGTCTGGGCCCTTCTTGGGCTTATGAGCAATGTGCTTCCGGCCGCCCTTGCCGGATGCGCTCACATCACCCACCCTGGTGTTTTGGATTTTAGGGTCAGATTGTTTTGAAGGAGATTTGGAAGGCGCACCCTACATCAACACAAGATAAACGCAAGTTAGAAATCATTCGGGCAAATTTAATATTGGTCAGAAATGAAAGTATAACAATTTTCTACCTTAGAGGTGCCGCCAGTTTTCTGCTCGTCCACTTTGGTGTGAGTGGTTACTTCTGCCCTGTTTAGGACATTCGAACTGTATCGAGTAGCAGATAAAGCCGGCTTCCTTGTGGCCGAGAGCTTTTCCATTGCTTTGTCTGCAAAAATGAACAAGTGATTAGCGTCATTAAACAAGTACTGAAAAGCAAAAGTAAATTGCATATAAAACAGACGGCCGACTACCACTCGGCATCTCAGAACTTAGCCCACAGGCGGCTAAGAATGTCCCTTCTTCAAACCACTTGTACAAAGGGAGATAGCATTGAGGGGTGACCTCCTTGTCCCCCTCATCATTCGTCCACACGAACACGGTAAACAACCCCGCGTCCATGATCTCCTCCTTTGCCCGCCTGGGAACTGGCGGCAATGCGCTCCTGCCTGCTAGGAGAGTTGGATCCTTATTCCACCTGTTATACTTTTGGTTCAGGCGGCTGTCGGTAGACTTGACTATGTAAAACTTAGTCCTCTAGTCTTTCCACTTGTTCTCTTTGCCAACATCCATCATGTACCCCTTGCAAGTGGTCAAGGTGTACCAGCCTTCACCGCCTCTAGCAGGCGCCCTGCTCAGATAGTGCATTTGGGCGAACGCTTCAAAGCTCGCCTCCACCTGCAGCATCTCATAGGCGGAAACGTACCCCAGAATATTGATCTAGGAGTTGGGTACAAGTTGCCAGATACCTAGTTGGTATTCGTCCAAAATCCTCTCCACGACCGGATAGAGAGGGAAGCGGAGGCCAGCCTGGAAGGCCACTTCATAGCAGCTGAATGCTTTGTCTTGATAGCTGGCCAGGCTCCGCCAGAATATGGTGTCGCCCTCGTTATGGACCGACAAAGTGTAGCCATAGCCTAGGACGACCTTGCGCCTAAAATTGGCAAGGCCGGATGCTATGGCGCTCTGCCTGCCTGGCGAAACATGCTGATAGTAGGGGGCTCTCTCCAAGCGCCTGGAAGCACTCGGCTCGGCCCAGCTTTCCCCCCTATCCACTGCCAGGGACTCTTTGGCGGAATCTATGTTTGATCTAGCCTCCTCTGAAGTTACGGAGGCATTCTCTGTAGAAGATGACGAGGCCGACTCGTCACCAGAGCTCTCATCAGAACTAGGGGACCGCTGACTGGTGCCAGCGGGGTCCTCCCCTAGACTCTCTTCCGGCGCCTGTCCAGAAGGCCAGGGTTGATATTCTTCATCCGCCTCCCCCAGGATTCCATCACTGGGAGTTCCACTAGATGTGGGCGAATGGTAATAAGTGGGGGTAGGAGGAAGATAGGAAGGGCTGTCAGGGTGTTCCGACAGCTCACTTCGAGGCACTCTTATTGAGCCGTCTGAAAAAACAGTCGACCCATCCGAATGGTAGAAAACTCCTTTGGAGCTACACTGCCTTGATGTTCTTCTGATTCTGGCCATAGTGTCCTGTACAGACACGGAAACGGTCGGATTCGGAGAAGTTCGCAAAGCAGGGTCTTTGGCCAAGCATTCGGCACTGCTAGTTCTAGATTCAACCGTCCCCGGTGACCGGCTGATCATTATCCTACGCCGTGTTGCATGCAATTGGGGAGCCATTTTTTCGAAAACAAAGAAAAAATGAAGAGTAAAAAGAAAATACAGGCGTTACCTTTAGAAGAAGGGAGAAAGACGCCTGGTTGACTAAAGAACGGTCGGACTGGTAGCCGACTGTCGGATGCTTGAAAAACGCTTAGGGAATTTTGAGATTCTTTAAGTCAAAAAGTCCAAGATTCTCCAGAGATTCGCCAAGGTGTGAATCCAAGAGGGGGGGTCAAACCTCACTATTTATAGGGGGGTAAAACCCTAATTTTTTCCCTCCAGTAAATTTTCGAATCTGACCACTCAGATACTGACACCTGTCACAGGAGTCACGTGCAATGCACGTGACCCCTGTGAGAGGCAAATGATTTGGGTATTTTATACCCGGCCAGGTGGCCCAATCAGAAAGTGCAACGTGTCCTCCGTATAGGTGCCATTTGGACCTATGGAATGATGGCACGTTGAGGGTGGACTCTTCTCCGTCCTACGTGGACTGAAGGTCCAGCAGGGACCATTTAGGTGGCGACACGTGTCACACAAAAAGTGCTTCAAAATCCATTGGGCACAGTGACACGTGTCACTCAGGCATTGGCCCTGGGATGGCGGCCTTCTAAGGCCCAAATCCCGAGGCGCCGCAAAACGGCGTGACCTAATTACTAGGCCACCAGATCCTAGGAAGGCATACTTTTCAAAAGGACCCTATAAATAGGGACATTATGTCATTTATGACAGGGAGAGAATTTTTGACACGCAATACGAGAAAATACTTCACTTATCTCACTTTACCTGAGCTTGGAATCCAAGCAGATAACTTTACTTCCGCACGTTTTATTTCCGAACGTTTGCTGACTTAATCTTCGGAGGCGGACCCCCAACCATCTGGAGGTCCATTTGCTTTGCAGGTACAGGCGTCCTCAGTTGAATCCAGTTTCAGTGTTGTAACTCTCCCGAGGGACAAAAAACCCCGAAACAACACGTGTCACCTCAGGATGGCCCAAAGTGGACCAATCCTTGCTTGACACGTGTCACTTCAGAAATAAAAGAAAAATGGAGGCCTTCAGGCCCAAATCCCGAGGACGCCGTAAAACGGCGCAGCCCACCAATGATTAGGGTTCCGTAACCTAATCAGGGGCACAATTTCCAAAGACCCTATAAATAGGGAGATGTCCCTCATTTTGAGGACACGTTTTGATCATTTATTACACATTTTACTCTTTGATAGAGATATCTTGAGCTTGGAATCCGAGCAGATCCCTACCTAAATTTCCGCACCTTTTTTCCTCCCTTCAAGATTCTAACTTGTGCGTCGTAGGCGGAGCACCACCCAACCGGTGTCTCCGTTTGTTTTGCAGGTACAGGTCATCCCGGATCAGTCTTCGTGTCGTAACTCTCCCGAGAGACAAAAACACCCAAAACAACTAGTATCTACGATTAGGACTAATCGAAATATTAAGGTACAAAAATACTCAACGGTACGCAGACCGTATTTAGATTTACAAAAATTCATCACGGATCGTAGTCCGGATTTTCTATTTTAATCGTGCCCCGCTAGTTGTCATTTCATAAAACCTTTGAGAGAATATACATTTCATTCATCCATTCATTGTTTGTGAATGGCCCATGCATTTTACAACGATAAACAAGTAACAATGCATAAACATGCGTGAATTAGTAATTAATCTAGGTGGTTAATCCAATTAACACGTCGAATTAAAACTAGTCAAAGTTGTTTTAACCGGTTATGTAAATAAGCACAATTAACATTTGAAGCTCCCACTAAATTCCGCATCCAACTTAATTAATCCAATTAATTAAGCCGGTATTTCCCAAAATTTGTTAATAAATTTTTCCAATGCCGCTCAAAACCGAGGCCTAGCCTCCAAAATTTATTAAAATAATTAAAATAAATTAGATTAATAAAATAATTAAAACGACAATTTTTAAGCAAAAATACATAGTCCTAAGTGTCTAAGTGCCTAGCACTAAAACATGGATTGCTCACATTTCGCACACCGTTTGATGCTCAACGAACGTGGGAGTAGGCCCGGTGTCGCCAAGCGTTACACCGCCTACATCACCGAACTTTCACACATCAATAACGTGGCCCTTAATGACCATGTTGAACGAATTCATTACACTAAATTGCTTCGCTAGCAACGTCTACGCATACCCCTAATTACACGATGCATGCACAAAGTCCCAAGCAATGCACAATGTGCTTGTGCTTGCACTAGCCGCGGCCAACCACGCAAGGCAGCACGCACTAGCGCGCACAGCACCTTGCTTCTGCTGCGACGTGCTGCTGGCGCGCCATGCTGCTGGCGCGCCATGCTGCTGGCGCGCCATGCTGCTGGCAGCAAGCAGCAGCCACGCATCGGCTCGTATGCAAGCTTGGGGCTAGCCAAGTGATGTGTTGCCTCGTTTTTTGTGCCACAGCCTCGGTATTTGGATCCCAATTTTGCATGACATAATTATTAATTCTAAATTAATATTAGAACTAATTCATTTGAGCAAAAAAAAATTTAAACAAGTCTAACTTAAACAAAATTTTTAAAGTGTATGTAACCAAAATAATTCCCAAGAACCATTCTTTAATTAAATTGGTTTATCTTGGTGCAACAAAAATAATAAGGGCAACACAAATAATTCCCAATTTTACAGAGCACCTAACAGCAGGCGTTGCAGCAGCTCAGGTAAGAGTAAAGATTACAATCACATCAAGGAATTACCTTGTAAACCTGCAACAGATGGAATACTCAATAAAAAGCTCAGGATAATAAGCGTATCCGCCTAAACAAGTTATATCCAAGTAATCAAGAGTCGAATGCACAGCAGCAGCAGTAAATGAAGCCGCACAACAACTGTTATAGCAGCATCATAGCTGTGCATAAAATCATTCTCCAATTTGAATATCCATCTGCCACAATAGTAAGATTTTTCGGTAGGAGAGTCAAAACTTTCAGCGAGGTAATTGAAAATTCTAGTCAGAAAAACCAAGATTTTTTCATCATGGTAGTTTGATTCTCGCACAGAAAAAGTACAACTTTGAATTCTGCAGCCAGATTATTCAGTCGAGATATTGGAATTTTATGGAGGGATACTCAGATGTTTTGATAAGAACATAAAATCTTCATCGGAGCAATTATGATTTTTTCAGTATATAAATCAAAATTCCCAAAAGGATAAACTTGATCCTTAGCGAGAAAATCAGAACTTTCAGTAGAAAATTCAATATTCTCAGTAAGACAATAAGATTTTCCAGAAGAAAAATCAAAATCTCAGCAAGAAGCAGCCAGATTTTCCAACATTTAATAAGAATTTCAGCAAGCTAAGTTAGTAATCTGCTCAGAAGAGGATTTGAAATTTTTGCAAGGAAACAAAGTTCCACAGCAAGAAGAATCAGATTTTTCAGCAAGTTAGCCGGATTTTCTAAGCAGATAAATGAAAATTTTCAGCAGAGTAACTTGGTGTCTCAACTGGAAAGTTAAAATCTTCAGCAAGCCAATTAGACTTTTCAGCAAAAAACTAAAGTTTTCAGCAAGGTAGTCAAAATTTTTCAAGTACGCCAAGCCATCTAACTCAGCACTAGCAAAAAGAGAGTAATGCACCTCCAGGCTGCTACAAATCATAAGTCCCCTTTAAGTCTTAGAACCGTTGTAGCATCTCTAAGACATGGGGGGCTAGATGTAGGGGAGCAACTTAGCAGGGCTCCATCTTTTGGGGATTTTGTTATGTGGAATGACTCCCTCCGAGTCATATCACTAACAAATCAAGTTTTACAACAATCAATTATGTTCCAAAACACTACTTCTGCTCCGAAAAAGAATGACTTAAGCTACACAAAACTGCTTCTTCCCTTTTAAAGTTCCTTCAAAGAGGAGCTCATTGACTTCTCTATAATTTATTTATTTACACTAATGCTCTTTTATGCCAAATATCTGTGTATAACAGACATAAAGGATTACTGGGTGACATAGTGCAGAAAATAGAACCAAGTCAAGTGACAACAGATAGGGAACCCCTACACATCAAAGTGAGAAACATGATATCAATTCTTACTCATCAAAGTGGGGATCCAATGAATTTACAGCTCAATGTAAGGCTAAAAATGAAGAAAGCATTCAAGCCTTCGTCTTAACCAAGTCCAGCATGAGCATGTCAAAATTCAGCCAAGACATGGTCTTAACCATGTCACACTAAAAGCAGCAGCCAAGACTTGGTCTTAATCAGGTTCAGCTGATTGAAGTCTACAACAACAAGCAGCAACAATTCCTCACTGTTCTCTCTTCTGTAAAGGGGACGACATGTATTTTCTAGAGCTGTCAACAGTGTCGTGTCGTGTCATGTTCGTAGCTATGTTTAAAATTAACCCGATTTTTCATGTATGGGTCATGTCCAGCTATCTTGTCTTGTTAGTTTTGTCAGCTCTAGTTTAAAGTTCGCTCCCTAAACTAAGTGTGAGCAGGAAGATAGCTATTCGTTCCACATCGCAAAGAATCAATGAGGGGTACCAAGGATCTTTTAGGTACATCTCTTTGACACTCTTGCAGGAAAAAAAGGATATAGTTGAATTGCACCAAGGCACTCTTGCTTCTGCTCCACTCGATTCCTCAGCACGTCAGCCAAAACAGGCTGAAGGAAGACCATTGCCTAAGCCCCTAAAGAAATTAAGTAAGGAGCACAAGAAAAAGGTCACAACCAAAACAAGTTGAAAGAAGACCATTGCATAAGCCCTTACATAAGTTAAGTAAGGAGCATACGCAAAAAGTCATGGCCAAGACAAAATTCCTCGTGATATTTTCAGCATTCAGCGGGGAATGATCAAAATTCCTCGCCTAAGCTCAGCTCGTAATTTTTTCGGCGTTCAGCGGGGAGTGATAAAAATTCCTCGCCTAAGCTTAGCTCGTAATTTTTCAACATTCAGCGGGGAGTGATAAAAATTCCTTGCCTAAGTTCAGCTCGTGATTTTTTCAGCATGTAGCGGGGAATGATCAAAATTCCTCTCCTAAGCTCATCTC